TATCTATCTATCTATCTATCTATCTATCTATCTATCTATCTATCTATCTATCTATCTATCTATCTATCTATCTATCTATCTATCTATCTATCTATCTTTCTATCTATCTATCTATCTATCTATCTATCTATCTATCTATCTATCTATCTATCTATCTTTCTATCTATCTATCTCTTGCCCTCTCTCTCTCTTCTTCTCTCCTCCCCCCTCTCCCTCTGCCTCTGTCTAACTCTCTCTCGTTCTCTTGCAGACACGTTCGCTAGCAAGGTGGCGGCTATCGGCGACCAGTACGCTGACTCATCGATCGGCAACGTGACGGGAAGCAACGCCGTCAACGTGTTCCTCGGCATCGGCATCGCCTGGTCGCTGGCCGCCATCTACCACGCGGCAAACGACAGCAAGTTCATCGTCGAGACCGGCTCGCTCGCCTTCTCCGTCACTCTCTTCTGCGCCTTCGCTCTCGTCATCATAATCATACTGCTCATACGGCGCGTGCGTCGCATCGGAGGCGAGCTCGGAGGTCCGATGCTCTACAAGCTGCCGACGGCGGGGCTTTTCGTCATAATCTGGACGCTCTACGTCGCCATGGCAGCGCTCGAGTCCTACTGCTTCATTCCCGGTTGGTAGAGATGGAGATCGAGAGGGAAGGAAGAAAGGAGAGAGTTGCTGATGAGATGCCCAGCTGTGTGCCTTTGATACGTCATTGCCAGGGAGGGAGGGGGCAGAGGAAGGGGGGAAGAGGGAGAAGCAGAGAGGCAGGAGGAGAGGCAGAGAGAAGGGGAGAAGGGGAGACACCCATCAGTGTGCCCATGACGTTTCGTCGTTAGAGGGCAGCAGCGGCACACTGACAGAAATGGAGAGGCAGAAGTAGAGAGGCTATATGAGAGGCAGAGAGAGAGAGAGAGAGAGAGAGAGAGAGAGCGTGATTAAGCCAGCCGTATGCCTCCACGCGGATGATGCAGCATCTCCATGTGCCGTCACTGGCGCCCCCTGCTGCCCGTCCGTGAGAGATGCGCGTCTGTGCGGGAGACAGACGTGGGTGGCGCCCCCGGCAGGCCCGGAAGGTCAGTTCGGTCCCTTCTCGGTTGGGTGAGAACCGAGAGGATCTAACAAGTGTTGAGACGTCAGTGTCCGTGTCCGAGTGAGACGGTTTGATAATACGTACGGATAGACAAACTTGTTTCGCGGGAAAACGAGTAACACTACAGCTGGGCCCGGTGCAACAACGGTGATATCTAAAGAGAGAGACATGCGGTGGTGGCGCCATCTCTCATCGCCTTACGGTGGCGATAGCGGTGCATTGTTATGACGTGTCAATCAGTGCTCTTCAGCAAGGGATGCTGACGCGTGTCAAGTCAACAGAGCCAACGTCGCCGCAGTCACGCTGCAGTGCTGCTGCTGCTGCTACTGCTGCTGCTGCTGCTGTTACCGCTGCTGCTGCTGCTGCTGCTGCTGTAATTGTTACTGTAGCTACTGCTGCTGTTGCTGTTATTGTTGCTGTTGGTGCCGCTGCTGCTATTGTTATTGTAGCTGCTGCTGCTGTTATTGCTGCTATTGTTGCTGCTGCTAACGTGACTGTGGTATCTAAGCGTTTCTACTGCTGGTGCTGTTGGTTCTTCTGACCGCAGCAGCATTAGCACCCTTCATCGGAGACAGACGCGCAATTCGTGAGAGATGTGTGAAATCATCGTGTGCATAGTGGAAGCAGCGAGGAGCAGCTTTGGGTGCGACACGGCGCTGGAATCGCGCAGACGTGCAGTGAACTACGTGCCGCACGCCACTAGAGGTCTTTCCTTCGCGAGCTGCAGCGGTAACCGACGTCGGCAGCGCCACCTATATTCGGGAATCGTAACGAAGTTGATTCCGCGCCATTGAGCGCCCGGCGATGTGTGGCGGCTGCCTACACGCGCTACGCCATGTGACGCTAGCGCTGATATGCGTGAGAGTGAGTGTGTGTGTGTATGTGTGTGTGTGTGTGTGTGTGTGTGTATGCGTGCGTGCGTGCGTGCGTGTGTGCGTGCGTGCGTGTGTGTGTGTGTGTGCGCGCGTGCGTGCGTGCGTGTGTATGTATGTGCGTGTGTCTGTGTTTGTGGGTGTGTGCGTTCGTGTGTCTGTGTTTGTGGGTGGGTGTGTGCATGCGTTTGTGTGTGTGTGCGTGCGTGCGTGCGTGCGTGCGTGCGTTCGTGTGTGTAACTGTGTATGTATGTATGTGTGTGTGTGTGTGTGTGTGCGTGCGTGTGTGTCTGTGTGCGTGCGTGCGTGCGTGTGTGTGGAAGAAAGGGGTAATGACGGCGGTGCTGTGACGTCACGGAATGCACAAAAACGGAGGACAATTTTCTGTTCCGCCTACACGAGCACTCGATGAACAATTGAAACCACTCGCTTACCGAAAGCGTTCGTTTTGGTTTCGCACTGGAGTATAATCTACTTCTAGGCTACTTTATTGTTCGACAATCGTGTTACTTGTTACTTTCGTTAAAAAAAGGTTGCGTTAAATTTTTTCATAATCGCGTGAGTTTTAATCGGTTCTTTCGTTTCCGATATGCCTGTTATTTATGAAATCTTATTTTGTTGATTATTATTATTATTATATAATACGCTCACTATGGAAGCTAGTCATAGCAGAAGAGTCGGGGGTTGCAACACGTCTACTTTACAGCTCTGCACCAGTCGTGTTCAGAATCTGTGGCCATTACAGTCATTTTATTAGGAGTGTCTATATTATGACACTCCTGACTTTATCATAGTTAGCAATTTGGTCCGAATCAGTGATGGACGACTTAAACTGTCTGCAGATAATCCTGGTAACAAACAATACACAGTGTGTTGTATGTTTAGGCATTTGACAATACACTGTGTATTGTTAGCGAGCTTTCAACAATACACTGTGTATTGTTGAACAACTTCTGAAAATACACCTTTTTTTTAATTAGTTTACTTTTTGATTTGTAAACTTGAAATTAACATTTATTTAAATGAATTTATTGAAATTATTTGATTGATTTGATTGAATTTATTGAAAATGAAATTGAATTTAAATACACAGTTGTTAGGTACCTACTACAATACACAGTGTATTGTTAGAAGGGGTTCAACAATACACACTGTGTTGTTGAAAGTGTATTGTTAGTTACCAGGATTATCTGCAAACTGGTTTCTGCAACTTGTTTTTTATCACAACACCGCGTTCACACTTCTAGTCATCCGGATGTTTGTGATTATAATTGATGGTGATGATGATAAATGATGATGATAGTAATAATAATGGCAACGATGGTAGAAATAATAGTAATAATAATATTCTGATATTCGAGACTTCCACGGCAGCGATGCTAAACGGACTGCCAACTTACAACATCAGAATGTTGACGAATATGGTGTTTCTGGTTATGATTATAATTAATCTAAAATTTATCATCGGTTTTAATTATCAGCATGATGAAATTTCGGGTCCGGATAGTTAGTGATTGGCATATTCACTCTTCGTATAAGTGTGAATATGTCGACGAAGAAGCTCTTTGTCACCAACGCGTTACTCGCAAACTGTTTACGTTAGAGTTTGTTATTGTTAAGGATACGACAAGTATCGTTTCCTGTAAAAGGTGGTCAGCGCTGTACAATGCTGTTGGAAATACTCTTAGCGTATAACGACAAACTGTTTTGCAGTCCTTAATGAATCATAACTGATTGGTGAATGCAGTGGCAGCAAGCGTTATCGTCTATTTACAAGTATTGTACATCGTTTTTATACTAGTTGTGTATAAAGGGGACTTATTGAATCTCAATCTCATCATTCGTTCATCGGAATCTTAGTATCTATACCTATTTCCATTTCTCACTCTGTAATGCAAGGTGTCGCGGAGGTCGTAGTCCGTACCGTTCTGTTGAGCAGGTAACCAAATAACAGGCCAATATTAGAAAGTCTTTCTATTATTACCCGAGTATTAATAAGGAATAATACTGCTACTATATATTAGTCTGTGACCAGATTTAGCGTATGGTGGTTTGAAAATAATTGATAGGTAATTAGAAGGAAATGATTGATAGGTAATTAGAAGGAAATGATTGATAGCCGTTACACTATTAAGTAGTTTGTCTGAGTAGATTTTCGCGAAGAAGGTTGTGTGTAGTTATATCTACGTCACAAAATAAATTTACTTCACTCTTTGATTGTTGCTTGTATTTTGGTTATTACCCGAATTACTACTTTACTATGATAATAATAATAAAACCAAAAGTACTCTCACTGATTGCAATCGTTTATAATTTATTGATGTATTTACTATTATTCCTGGCAATCAACATAATGTGTTGCTTTACACTGTACAGGTTATATATGTATGTGTTGGTTATCTACGCTGTTGATAGGTGGCGCTTTATGATGCGATCACGTGGCCGCTAAGTGAAGCACACCCAGGTGGGGTAATGCTATCCCCCGGGCGTGGAGGGAGGTGATCGCAACGTGGCAGCACTAGTGTTAGGATTAGGGTTAGGGTTAGGGTTTCTGCATCATGATATCTGTCTCCACACCATAGATTAATTTTTGTGGATCCCAGTACCTATATATAGCGCTCCGATATCTAACATATATTTGAGTTCGTATGTATGTATGTATGTATGTATGTATGTATGTATGTATCTTCCCTATAGGCGGCCAAACCGCCCAAGCGATCTGGATGCAATTTTCACAGGGCCATCTCTTATACCCGGGGAGTGTTCCTAGCTGAAAAAAACCTGCCAAACCGTCAAACTCACCGAAAAATCCGTGAAAAACCCCTCAATTCGTGAATCTTCACACAATTGCTCAGACAGCGACTGTACAGTGGCTGCCACACAGAGAAAAATCGATTCCCTCACCTCATCCGGCTGCGTGGTATGTGAAACCGAAACCATACCTAAACACACCACATACCACACCATGTTCTACCATTCAGAGGTACTGACCACATGCAGGACTCTAGAGGTTCAGTTAGATGCTGTACGATCTTTAGAATGCATGTACCATTCGAAAGCTCAGTTTCTGATTCAGTAGGAAATTCTTCGATTTCAATGTGGCATGGTGCGTTGTCTATCTATACATGAGTCAGCTAAAATGGACAAATTTGTCATTATTAGCTCCTGATACTATATTTCCTTTATTCATGCTGAACGATCTCACAGATGAGATAGCTGTATCGTGGGGACGCTCAAGAGTTGGAACCGCCCCAGGAACTCTACATATTTGCGCAGCCAGGGAAAAGCGAAAATTAAAACATTCTTTAACAAGAGGCTTTCAAATGAAAAGTCCAACCGCATTTCCACTTTTCCGTTATAATAACTTTTTGTCATTTACACTCATAGTTACTATTATGTCCAGGAGTCTCTAAGTTCGGATTGTGCTGCATATAAATGTCATACGTAACAGTTTTTCGTTTTTCCCCATGCTTATTTATCTTATTAGACACTCATTTCTAAATATTAATATGTGTCTGGCAATGTTTATTGTCGCTTTTACCCAAATGTTCGCTATTCTGCCCCATTATATGAGTCTCATGAATAGAAGCACAATTTTACCCAGCGCAGCGGTACCGCACAGCTAGTATAATCTATTTTAGGTGTTACGTTCAGCGTTGGAGAGGCGTGTTGCCCAGTTACCCGTCCACCCGCCCTGGATCAGTAATGTCGTGATACGGTTGACATACTGCGTCAACTGATCCCACCGT